CAAATTTGTTACATGCTTCTATGGTTCAAAATCAAAACCAGCAAACGTTTCACAGATGGTCCAAAGATACTTTTTGAAGCTATCAGAACATCACGGTACATAAAGCAAAATTTATTGCAAGTTATCAAGCCAGTAATGGAGCGAAACGCTTTCTTTGCTCATCCCGAAAATTTGATTCTTGCAATGACAGTGGATGAAAGAAGAACTATCAGAGAACTGGGAGTACGCAGACTACTGAAAGCTGGATCACTTTAGAAGGGAAAGACCATTCGAAATTTCACCACGCCAAAACTAAACTTTGAAGTAACAGACTACGTCGATATGATTTGGTGGGATAGTTTGAAAATCTCTCCTCCTCAACTACTAAGAAAAATCAAGGATAAGGACATCATAAAAATGATAAAGACAGACCCGCAACCAGATTTCCAAAGTTTCTCTTGTCATACCCAGGCGGTTTGAACGGTGTGTCAAACTTGTGACTGAAGTATCTCAAAAAGTGTGTGGCGCTGACGCAAGAGACGGATTAATACGAACTACCCTCCTGTCACGAAGAATTATTCGCGAATTTTCCCAAAAAATCAAACTTTAAAGTGATTGATTAATGATTTATTGAATAAAGAAGTTGAAAATAAAAATATGTTTATCATTTATATAGACTGAACATAAAATAGATAAGCTACGAAATACAGTCGTTTTTAGAAAAAATCCAGTTTTTTGAGCATTTTGCGCAAACACTAAATATTTTCAATTTAAGAGTTTTAATTTTTTTTCGTATTCCCTATACCCCAAACTTCACATTAGGACCTATAGCGCTTAGTTAGTATTGAGTTTAGCAATTATAAAAAAATAATTAAAAAAAACGAAATTTCGAAATTTTTTAAAACTTTGAGCGCCTTGCGCGAACGGAAGATATTTTTTTATTTGAATTTTTTTTTTTTTCATTTTGCTTAGCTAGGCATTATGCAACTTTTTTGAGGTATAGCGATAGAAAAAAAAATAAAGTGTTTTTTCGGCCCACTCTAGTGGATATGCCTTTAAAATTTACCTAACTATACTACTGTAGTTGGAAAACGTAGTTTAACTAATGAAAAGTAGCATTATTTTAAATAACGGAGAGCTCTCATGCCAAATCATTGAAAGAAATCTCACAATGACATTAGAAAAACACGAGGTGACTTTTATTTCAGGAAAATTTTAAATAATCTCATATTGAATTACTAGTATTTTTTAACTATGTATTATGACATTATAGTTACATTTTTCCTAAAAGAGAATTTTAGGTATCAATTTAAAATAATTTGCGGTTATATTGTTATATTTAGTAAAATGTCACTAAGTGTCATTCCTGTCAACAAAACTCACATTTTCTACAATCTATCCTAATTTAAAAACAATACGCCTTCGAGATATATTTCTATATATTTCTTGTTTTTTATTTTGATTTTACCTAATGTAATACTTGTGTTCACAATATCTGGATAACTCTCCCACATAATATTTATTACACCCATATGGAATACTGTCAAAGTATTTTTTTGTTTGAAACTGCATCATAATATAAAACTTATCAATATCACCGATACGTCGTCTTAACTTTTCAGATAATTCAGAAACTGAATGTTCTGTATATTTGTTGTACAAGACTGTCCGCTCTCAGTTACAAATGTTCCATCAACAAAGACATCAGAGTTTTCATTATTTATTTGAACATCTTACTACATTTTTCTCATTGTTTTTATGTCACAATTATTTCAATAAAGTCACTGATATCACATTACGACACACTATATTATTTTTATATTTTATTGTGTAGTTTTTATTATTAACGAATATTAAAAGTATGATAGTCTTGAATATAAAATATACATAAAAACTGTTGACATCCAATAATTGGACATTTTAATTTGTGAATTTCCTTTATTGGGTAGATTTTCATTCCTTTTTAATAATGACATGGATTTTATCAATCCATACTTTCTATTTATCAAATGATAACCGGCAGGAGTTTTATGTTTTATCTTTGGTGTTGTTTGCATAGACGAAAGGGGCGTAGATGAGGGTGGTAATTGGGCATTAGAAAAATCGGTGTATTTGTTCACTACTGGAGAATCTGGATACTTCGGTGTCGAAGTGCCATCTTTATCTTCTTTTATTGGATTGATGTAGTTTAGCTCTTCATGAACTTTAAGTTTTTCATCAGTAATTAATGATTTAAGCAGATCTGGTTTTGTTGTAGTAGTTGTTGAAGTCGTTGTAATAAATATATAACTAGTAAATATATCTTCATCATACACAGAATCGTCATATAGTTCAAAGCCCCTGAATGAGTCCTGGTGAGTGTAAGAAATACTATCACAAATGCAAACGATGCATATCACAAAACTCGCGTACTTCATTTTAATGAAATTTGTCACTAAATAAACGCTCAATCTGCAAGTACTTGTTATGTTTAAAATCAATGTGTAATTAGGTATTTAAATAAACTCATATCATAAACTGACGCAATAAATTTATTTCTTGTAATGAAATAACATCAACATAAATATTCATAAGAAATTGTGTTTTATTAAACATTTTAATTAATTCTTTTTAAAAAGTAATTGTTTTTCATTTTAATCCTTTATTATCTTAGTATTTATTCACTTTACCACTTAAATTTTTGCATAAGATTACAATTTTAATTTCAAGAAATACAGTGTGTAGCAACATAATGGATATAATTAATTTTCTTCGTTGACATGTTTTCAAAAAAAAATCTCGGACACACGTTTTTTAATTTCAAATACTCATCTTTTGATATAGGCAAGCGAGTTATCTTTATTTTTTGGATTTGACCGACTAATCGCTTTGATAGTATACATCAAACAGAAGACAACAATGTATTTTTTATTTATTTTTGAGCGCGGAAATTTTAGGATATTTCTCTATGAAGATACCTGCTAGACGTAAGGCTTTCGATTATATAAATTTAAATAATTCGTAAAGTTCAAATTAATCCAGATTATTTCGGAGACATGTCCGAGATGTCCAGTATAACATTAATCAACGTATTATCATTTTAATTCATTTTTTAAAATGAAAAAAAAATACTTTTAAATGTTTTCGTTTCGAAAGACGCATCGCTTCCGTTAGTTATCGTGATATTGCAAAAATAATCCATCGTAGCCAAAACGTGTGGAGTATTTTTCTCTTTAAAATGAATATCTTGCAAACTATATCAGAAATTATTAATTTTAAAGCAAATATTATCCGGGTGTGGATGAAACAAATTTTATAAAACAATTTTTGGGTCCTTGCCTAGAAAAAAGTATCCAACCATGGAAATAAATTCAATTTGACGATATTTGTATGCAGTTACATAAAAAATAATTTATCGAAGGTTAAAATTCTGTTAGTAACAAATATTGTTTATCGGGGCAGGATCTTTCAAGTGATGGTGTAGTAGGTTGACGGACAGTAAAACACAGGGAGAATGCGGAGCAAGTCAAAGAATGAATGTTTGTGAAATCGACTTGAGATGGTTTCCTGTCTGATGGTCCATAAAGAATATACCAAAAACAGTCCTCGGAATATGATTGGAATGGATTACCCAAAAACTGTGTATGTAGCAGAGATGTTTAGGATTGAGTGGGTAGTGAGTGATCAATGACAGATCAAAATTATGAGAGTAAAATTACATACAATATAACAAAAAGAGAAAAAATTAATTTAAGAATTCTGGACAGTAAAAATAAGTATGTGAATCGAGTAAGACTAATATTTTGTGGTATTGATTTGTACAGAATTTGTTAAAATGTATTATATATTATTTTATTAATATGCCATTCCCAATTTTCACATTCATCTGATTTGTATTTCATTAACTTCTTATACTTTCCTATATATTCAATAAATTATTTGCCATAAAATTATTTATGACTTTTAATGTCGTTGTGAGAATTTGTATTTGTATTATATGCAGAGTTGAACAGCTCGATAATTTATAAAATCAACAGAATATACCAATATTATATATTTTATTATAAACATTAATGAGATGTATATTGTATATTATCAGTAAATGCATAACAATTCCATAATTATATATTCTTTATTCACTAATGCTTCTCTGAGGTGGTCCATAATACCATATACTTCTGTTAATTCATGGGTTAAGAAATAAAGAGCAATTGATGGTGTGTAATACTCTTGAATCCGTTAGTGAACAAATGTAAACTGTCAAATCCCTAAACATATTAATAATAAATAATAATACATTATTAATTATTTTGGTAGATTGTTTGTATATGTCTATATACATATAATAAATGACTTAAATATATTTAGAAATGTAGGAGATAAAATAAGCTTACTTAGATACGTTCTTAATGCTTGAATCAGTTGGAAATCGCATTTTTTGTTTTTAAGACTGTATAGTAGTGTATAGTGTATACGAAAAATATTATAGTTTAACTAAAGAAATTTCAGAAAATAATATACATACAATATAATATCAAAATCCTTTTCTATGTATACAGATATATTTCAAAAGGCATAAACAAAGTAAAAAGCGTGTCCAAATAATTATTTTCTCAGCAATTATAGAAAAATGTGTTATACTTTGGCAACACCGGTCAATTTATTGTCGAAATGATGTTTATCATTTACATATCTAAAAAGATCTGAAAAAAGTACATCATTAAACGACGTGGGTCGGAATCCTATGATTTTCATATTATTGGTTTAATTTTTTTCTAAAAATATATGTAAGAAAAAAGCACGGTATTTCAAGCTGTATTTTCTTAGTTTTTTTGATGGTAAGAATATATTGACAACAAATTTCATTCAAGTCATATAAAGCGTTTTTCATTCATTTGAAAGAATTATGTTAGGGAAACTTTGTTTAAATCGATTTGTCATCATATATGTAAGGTTCATTTAATGCCATTGTTTTCTGAATCATCAAACTCGTATGTCGTTTATTATGTGTCCAGTATGTATATTATTGTATATATAGTGGCTGCGTGGTCAAGCAGTAAGGATACTTGCCTTTCACTCTGGAGTCCCGGGTTCGATCCCCGGTCGAAAAGTAAGAATTTTCTCTAAACCGGAAATTAATCCTAGCTTATTCGGATATTGGGTGTGTGTCTATTTGTCACTAAATGTATAGCCCTTTTCGCACAAGGTATCTTGAGTTACTTTCAGAGATAGAGGGAGTTGTATTACCTGTGGTGTTTACTTTTAATTAATTTAATTTTATATGTAACACATATAGATTTCGTTTCTTTTAAAATTTGGAAGTGGACTTCATTTCTTAGAAGAACCCTTGAATCAAAATTTTAGTAAAACACATCGCAACTAGCACACTTTCGTATAAACTTAAATTAAACGAACAAACAATGATATAGATGATTTGTAGTATACTACAAATCATCCATGTTATTTTTTAGTCATTTAATCTACATTTTTAAGACTATGGTGGTAGTTGAGATGTGTTTTCGTATTCTCAGAAAGTACATATATAAACAGAGTGTCTCTGAAAGGTTTATACAAAAACTTACCATATACTTTCGAAACCAAAATAACATGATTAAACCCCCAACTCGCATCCCAAAATACTTTGTTAAATCGCTATCGGTTTTTTTTTATTAAAAAGTTGGATATAAGATTGCCAAATTCTAGGAAAAGTTATAAATGGATCAGATAAACTATTTTCAGTTATAGTAACGTTTATGGAAATAAATTCGCAATACAAATGTACAGATATTACTTTTTCATGTGCTAAATCTGAGACTGTGGTCTGACTAAACAATAAAAAAGGTAAAATAAGAGTTTAAAATATCTTCTATTCATCCTGTACAAGCAATTGCTTTATCAATGCTATACTACCGTTATTTGCGGTGTATTTATATACAAATGTGAGATAATTTTTTTGACTAAATAAGTAGCTAATTAAATATATGAATATGTTTGACCTTAACATTGGAAATTTTAATTTACATTCAGTGATAGTATCCATACTGCATGCAAAATTACTGGAAGTTTTTTACGATTTACGATTCCGCAAATTTTTTAGGTGATTTAACTGCCAGGTAGGTCAACTCTATTTCGAACTATACTATTTTAAAAGACTTTTTTGTAACACACTTAATTTATTTATTACTTATATCATGACCGTTAAAAAAACGACGCAGGTTGCCTATGCAAATGAAAACGTATGGTTTATTATTTTTTCTTACGTCATTAAACAAATTAATAAAATTTTAACTTGAAGATGGTCAATGTCAAGACTAAAAATAAGGAGTCATATTACATGATCTTGGAGGAAATGCATCAACGGTCTCGAACACCAGTTCCTGTTTTAAAGTGTAGGGACACCACTTTATTCTATCAGCGCGCAGCGGTATGATAGAAGCTAGGGTAACTCCGTGAAGAAACAGAATTCCAGGCGGTCCGTGTGTGTGGTTGTCGTTTGCGTAGCAATGGACAACTTCACCTTATCTGCCGAAAATGGTTCTCGGTATTGAAATAAAATTTATTACTTTTGCCTTTAAATAAAAGTCAAAATGCAAACGGTACTTAGTCTATTTATTCATGATTGATTTCATAGAAGAAAAAATCAAATACTCAGAAAAAAAATATATATATATATATATATATATATATATATATATATATATATATATATATATATATATATATATATATATATATATATATATATATATATATATATATATATATATATATATATATATATATATATGAATAGTGGTGAGAGGTACGAAACTTCTCATATGGTCTGAATGCTACTATCCGACCGACATCATAGATGTCTCTGTGGCGGATAGCGACTTGCGACACACTTCACCTTAGTTAGTATATAACTAGCAGGTTGGCCACTATCATTTGTCTGTTCCATAACCTATGGCATACTGAAGAGAACAAATAAGTTCGAAATCGATCTATGTCTGGTTAGGAATTGAGAAATGATATTGGCTATCGATCTATCATGATGTGAAAGTGTAATCCAATGCAGGTCGGGGTATTTGCCCGCTGAGTAGTTGTTTCCTTCAAATCATATTTAATAACATTAGTTTAGTCCACCTGGGCTAGGGGTCGCCGCTCTCGGTACTTGCTGTGTCGCAAGTCGCTATCCGCCACAGAGACATCTATGATGTCGGTCGGATAGTAGCATTCAGACCATATGAGAAGTTTCATACCTCTCACCACTATTCACTTCACCTTAGTTAGTATATAACTAGCAGGTTGGCCACTATCATTTGTCTGTTCCATAACCTATGGCATACTGAAGAGAACAAATAAGTTCGAAATCGATCTATGTCTGGTTAGGAATTGATAAATGATATTGGCTATCGATTTATCATGATTTGAAGGTGTAATTCAATGCAGGTCGGGGTATTTGCCCACTGAGTAGTTGTTTCCTTCAAATCATATTTAATGATATATATATATATATATATATATATATATATATATATATATATATATATATATATATAACTTTATTAAAAGAGAAAAATATAAATACTTATTTTTATCTACAAGCGATACAGCCTAGGAAACAAGCAAGTGGTTTATGATACGGCGAAGTTTCGGAGACTACATTTACGGTATTTACTCATAAGCAGGCAATATCAAAATAATTACTACAAGCAGTTATGAACGCAATCTACGGTTAGTCGGGTCTATGGCAAGCGGTTAGTGACTTTATGATCGCTATCCAAGTGCTAATGGTTATGGAGTGCAGGCGTGCCACAACGGGAGTATGTCAATCCAGGGACAGTCGGTATATATGACTGGTTACTCGCGGATGTGCTATATCTGTAGATCAGCGATTTATATTTCCAGTGAATACAAATATCAACGATATGGTTACGATATTACGCCACGCGGCACGGTGAGGTTCCTTTCACAGTTCTAGAGAAAAACCTTACTCGTGCTGAATCAACTAATGAAGTCCCGATATGCTTGATGCTGATCTCGTGATATAGCATTGGGCTCCAATTTACTAATTCGCGTCTTTAAGGCACACTGTCCCTTAAGCTGACTAAACAAGAGATATGCGGGCGGAGTTAAAGCGTATCATCGCACTAGGTATCGATAAAACGAGGGGATATCACATTTATCTGCGAGCCTTCTTGTTTCACCACTCAGATATATATAGTGGCTACGGATTGACATTAGGCTGCGGAGCACGGTAAGGTTTCTTTCACAGTTCTAGAGAAAAACCTTACACGCACTGAACAGAACAGTTCATATATTACTTCCCTAGGCACGGTGAGATTCCTAGATTTCCTTCGCAGTTCTAGAGAAAAACCTCACTCGTGCGGTATCTACTAATGAAATCCCAGTATATTCGTAGTTAAAATAGATAACCCGGATTTATTTGATAAACCACTATATTTTCCAGATATCTCGGGTCGTACGGTATTTGTAGACAATTAACGGACAAGAGAATATAACAGAAATGCGGACACAAACGGTAAATGACGGAAATGCACCAAAATCAACAATAAAACAATAAAATTGTAAAAAAAAATTCTTACCACTGGAGGATTCGTCGGAGCACACTGGAGTTCGGGAGCTGCTTGTACGGTACTGTCAGAGTGTCTGACCAGTTGTCGGAAGATGCTATTCTTGGCTCGTGCGTGTGGTTTTATTCACAGATCCCCCAACACGAAAGTCAGGTGCCTACGTGTTTCAAAGGATTCAGAATAAATTGCGCGCGTCCTAAATGTATTCCAAGCAATCTTGGCGTACTGTGCATAAACAAATTTCCTGCGTTATTTAACATAAACAAACGTTTACAAAATATTCCGACGCCGGGAAGCATTTTTCCGTTCCCTATTGTACTAGCGCTACATAGTGCGTTAATTATATAGGAGTCGAATGCAGATTCATGCAGCACACACAGTGTATTCATTTCTTAAGTGAATACAGCACACAGGCAAAAATGTAATAAATGCGATAATCATATAGAAATCGGTAATCCTCTGTTTCTTACGTCTGGGTAATCGTTTTTCAAATGACACTCGGCTACAACCTGACCCTTTAAAATGTCATTTTTCCCTTGCCCATCATTTCATTTTCTATCATTGACCTTAAACTGAGACCATTTAAAATTACAAAACAAGGACATTTTAGGGCAAGGAAAATTACATTACAAAATTTATACATTAATTTGAATTAATTTTATTATAGCAAATGGAAAAACGCCAATTACATACACTGTGTGTGCTGCATCCACTTAGGAAACGCAATGACTGAACCTGAATTCGACTCCTATATGATTAACGCACTATGTAGCGCTAGCACAATAGGCAACGGAAAAATGCCGCCGGGAATCGCTTTCTCATAATTTTAAAACTATATTTACAAAAAGAAATCTTTAAAAACGGTCATGAATTAATATTTTGTTATAAACCCAATAATTTATTATACAAATTTAAACAAAAATAGAAGCGTACCCTTTTATCATTAACAACTACTTTCAACTTGGCTTTGAATTAAACTAAATTAAATTCAATTTTCAACGTCTTACTTGGCGGCTGTTTAGTAAAAACACAACAAGTGGTTTATCATTGATATAATAAAATAACTTAAGATTACCCTGAAAATAAACCGGTTTGAAACAATTATGTTTAGTAAATAATATAATTGTTATTCCACATACTGGAACTTCTAAAAGAACTTGAACTCTGGTTCAAAACGGTCTTAATGGAAACAGTCTTACGAGTTATAGTATACAGGGTGTACCAAAGTGAAAGATCAACCCAATTAAGTCTTATTACATCTGAAAATGGTTACCGGAAAAATCAATACAGCATGCAAAGCAGCAAGTAAGATAAGCAGCAAAGAAAAAAACTGTTGATAAACTACTAGGCGGAATCGTCTGTACATCAATTGGTAAAAAGCTGATAGATGTTGGCCAACACCTGGGGGAAATTTTGCAAACGCGAAGGAAGCCAAGCAAAATACTGACTAAATTCAACTTTCGTCCTGGCTAGTGAATCAAGGTGGCGGTGGAGATACAGAAAGCCTAACCTCCTTCAGGAACAATTTCTTA